GACCATGGGGATCACTTCTCCTGGCACCCCTACTCCCTGGCTGGTGCTCTCAGGGGGGCGCCAGCACTCCTGCCTGTCCCCACCATCACTTAAGTGTGGAATGCTGCCTGTCAGGGGGCGCATCAAAATGCTCAGAGGGTGTACATGCACCCCCGTGCAGCCCCTACACATCTCCACTGGGCAACCACACCACCTCCCCACCAGCAGGGACTGAGTCAAACCATTGGGACCATCTGCCACACCTGCCCAGTAAGCTCCATGCAGGGAGGAGGGTTGGAAGGAGGAGCGGAAGGAGATGGCATGGCCACCCATGTTGTATTAAATGTTTATTGATAAACAATGATTTTTTTCATGTTTTTGTTTTTATAAGAAAAAGTGTTTTTTTGCGGGGTGAGGGGAGAGAGAGGAGAATGGGTACATCCAGTCCAAATTATTTTATTTTATTCTTTTTTTTTCTTTCTTTTTTGTTCAGTCACCAAACTGAAAAAGTATTAACACAACTCTAATTCTATGCCTGAAATATAGTGCCAAAGTGGGAAGGTACACCACTGTTGATGGAGCAGAGGAGACAGGGCCAATGGTATATATGTGAGGGGATGGGGGGAGAATTTCCCTTTCTTTTAGACACAGGTTCTCAAGTACACCTTGGTAAAACTTGAGTAAGTTTAATGATCTCAGTGTAGTTACTTGCCATTACCTTGGTGGGGACAAAATAGAATTTGTCCATGTGTGAAATCCCTGTTTTTTTATTATTTTCCTACGCTTTGGCTTTGTCTGTCTTGCAAAATTCCTCTTTGGTACTATATTTTTAACAGTTATTAACACCAAATTAACTAATAAGTCAGAGGACATCTGTGTCAAAGATCAGGTTGCAACGTATATGTCAATGACTTTCATAATAAGATGCCTTTATTTTTTCAAATAAGCCATCCCTAAGTATAAATGCAGTAGACACAAAGAGGTTTTTTATATATATGTAAATATATTTGGAAGTTCACTTCTTGAAACACTATCATTCTCTTAGATGCTGGCCAAACAAAGTAGAGCTTGTGTGCGTGGGAAAAGAAAACAAAGCCTGGGTCCCATCTAAACTGTTCAACTTTGTTCTGTCATACTGCTTATCTTTATCTCCCCTTACGTTTTTGGTGTGAAGTATACTAAAACCATGAGTTTTTTTCTCTTCTGAAAAGCAATTGATATAGTGCTAGTAGGGTTTACATTTTTTAAAATTGATAAATGCTAGCACAACTTCTACTGGCATCAGAGAGACAGGATCAGACTAAGTCTGTCCTTATACACATACAGCATCTCGTCCTTGTGAAGTTTTACAGTCTTGAAATTCCATCTGAACTATATGGAAAGAATACTATTCCATGAAACTCCTCTGCCATGCAGGTGATATTTTAATTTTCCAGAACTAAGTAAATTATTCCATGAATTAAGGCAAGCAGAATTTGTCCCCCCAAAATAAATTCAGTTACAATGGAAGTATGAACCACCATCCACAGGGAAATATCATTTGCCAGTATTCTGATAGAATTATATGTGTTTCCCCATGAGCGTATGCTTTCATTAGAAACAGGAGCACTAGCCTGCCACATATATGAATCTGAATAATATATCTGACAGGTTTTCATGTGAATCAAATCAAATGAGTTCCACTTATTGTTTGGTTACAATCTTATCTTCTTTTGAAAGCTCATCCATTTTATTTCCCTTTTCCTCGAGGAAATAGGAGGTAGCTCAGCTTGATCACCTTCTTTTCTTGTTTCCTGTACTTTATAATGCAGATTTTTTCCATCCTGGCCTCTGAAGCCAAAATTCTTCTTGATGCATTTGCTTCACCATAATAACAAGGCATGATAGATTCACATACTGTATGATGACCTATTTCCCATGCTGCACATAGCCAGACAAATAGAGTTTAGTGTGAAGGAGATATGGCAAGTAAATTTTTCTCACTGCCCCAACCTATGATTTTCCATGATGTTTTTGGATGGGTTAGAGCAGGAGTTTTCAACCTTTTTTAAGTAGTATATGCCTTCTGTCTCAAAGTTTCAGCTCATGTACCTCTTTATATTAAAATTATTGGGGGGGGGGGCTGAGCACATGTGTGCATGCATGCACCCCCCCCCCCCGACCCAGCAGGTAAGTCTGTGGGGGAGGGGAAAGGGCCATGGGGGGCAGATCGAGGTCTTGTGGTGAGGGAGGGAGTGGGGCACAGGTAGGGGAAGGGGCTAGGGTGAATGGGGCCCTGGCTGCGCTGGGTTGTGGGACATTTGGTAACTGGGTGGCTCGTCCAGGGCAGCAGGGGGCTCTCACTCCTGCATGCACCCTGGAGGAGGCCCAGTGGGCATGTGCCCCCCCGATCTGTGCATGGGGTGGAGGTGATTGCCGCTGTGCGCTGGGCTTTGTGCGCTGCTGGAGCTGTCCCAGGATCAGTGCAATGCTATGTGATTCCTACCACTAGGCAGGTAAGGGGCATGGCACAGCCCAGCAGTGACAGGCACATAGTGTGGCACCACTCGGGGGGAAGCTGCAGTGGCACACAAAGCTCAGCACGCAGAGGCAGCTGCCTCTAACCCACAAACATAGTGGGGGGCACAAGCTCCCTGGGCCTCCGCCGGGGTACACACAGCAGCCAGAGCCCCCACCCCGCCATACTCCTTACGACCTTTTTAAGTACCCGCAGGGGTATACATACCCCCAGTTAATGACCACTGGGTTAGAGGATGCTGGATCTGAAGAAGCCTGGGCCTTGTGGCATGGCAACTGTCTGTTTCCAATATCCTCTTCTACATTGCCTGGTGCAGTTCCATTGTGTAAATTCTCCTGGCCTCCTGTAGCTGATTCATCATATCCACTGTACTTGTCTTCATTCTCCCAGCTCCCTTAGGGCTTACCTTTGTGGAGGTCTTTTTGCTGAAGTTACGTAACTATAACCATTGTAAAGGAATGACAGTGGAATAGAGTATGTGTAGAACATGGGGGATACAGTGGTACTCAGCCTATAATGGCAAGAGAAAAACAGAAAGTCACGGGACATCTTTATGGTGACTTTCAACATGGGCATCTCTCAGCATAGTTGCAAATAAATGCTGCCAAATGCATCCTAGGAGTCTTTTGAAGAATCTTATAATTCTGGCAACACCATTTTGTTTATACTAGTGTTGCAATCTGGAACATACAAAGACTCAGGCTTTGGTAAGTGAGAAGGGCACTCACTCTTCCACTGAAATGAAAATGTTGGCAACCCTTCAGTAAACCAGTGCTCAGCAGAAGTTGCCCACTGTTTTCAGAGGTTGCCATGGCTCATCTACCTTTGTTTCCTTTTGGGAAACTAAATAAACTCTCTCTCTTGGCTTTTCAGACAGACTAGCTTCTTCTTCACTAGCATCTCAGCATTTCATTTCAAGTAAACAGTTATAAGGTGATTCCAGCTACACAAGTACTTCAGGATCGAGATCATAATTTTAACCTCAGTCCCTTTTTAGGTTTGTTCTTCAATGCCACTTAAATCATTTTTTATGCTAAACAGCATGGTGTTAAACAGAAGTTTGTTATTTGAAATGCCTGGGTTGTAACCTGCAGGAAACTGTTTTGCCAGCATCTTGTTTGGTTTTCCCATGATCTAGTAGAATATAACCCTGTGGAGATTTATCCCATAAATGCATATTGAATTACACTGTTATACTGCCCTCCCTTAATGAAATGTTAGCACCACTGGGACTTGACAAGTTTCAGCCATGATTATTTCATCTCAGGTAGTATGAAAAAAAACCAAGCTGAAAGATGCAGAAATATGTTTTGATATTTATTTTAATTTCTGAATAACATGTCTGTTCTAATTAAAGATGCGCCTTCCAGGCAGATGTTCAAATCAAGTGGGAATTCATATGCCAAATACAAGATTAATGGGCTCACATGTTAATGAAGCACTCTTTCAGTTACAGTGCTGAGAAATAAAAGCAACATCCAGTCAGTGGTGAAGTTATAGCTATGTGCTTCCCTAGTTACAAAGGTCTATTCCCCAGGGATTTCTTAGAGATTATTTCACTGATTCATTGAGCAGCCTTTTTACCTTTATCCTCTTCGTACCCTGAAGTACAGTAAGGGACTTATCACCATCCTCCTCACACAGGCAAACTCACACAGTTTTATATGCCTAGAGGATACAGTATCAAACTCATGAAGCATTTTCATTCTGCTTCTGACTAGGCATTGACAAAAATGTGCTTTTCTCCAACAATATAGTACTGAGTTAGAGGAGGGTGTTGCTTCACACAGTTATATGTAAAAGGGCAAGAGTCAATTCAATCTGATTATATAGCATATTTCCTGCACCTATGAAAGGATTTTTCAAAGAGGTATGAAAGCTTACACAGCCTCTGTCTTTACAATGAAAAGGGCCTTTATATTCTGTTATTAAATGAAAGCTAAATTATCGCTGACATGACAAAAGTCCTTAAATTAGTCTTAATGGCTGTCTTTAGGGATGTTGTAGACCAGGCCTTTGGTAGGTGTAAAATGGTATAGCTGAATATCTGGCCCCTTATTCTTCCTTTATTCCTTTTCTGTGTACCATTTTTTATATGGTCATAAGCTAAGGACTATAGATAACATTCCTGGCCTGTGAGATTTGGCAGTACAATTTAACTTAATTTGTCTTTTTATATGAGGCTCTGAAATTTGGAGCCTTTGTGTTCTGAGTGCAGAATACAAATACCAAACATAGGCAATTATTAGTATGGGCTGATCATTTTATCAGTCTTCTGGCTACACATGCTTCTGTGCACCTGCCCCTCCTCCCTCTCCCCGTTCTCCCAACCCACACACACATGCATGATTTAGGTATCTCCTCCCTAGCTTATCATTGGTTTAGTAGAACCCAAATTACCTTCATTTTAGTTGAATTTTATGGATAGGAAATAAAACATTATAAAATATTGTTCCCAATAGGGCAGTTACGTGGCATAATCTGCATTTCTCTTCTATTTCAGACTGCCTCAAGAGGACACTGTGTTGCCAAGGTTATACAGCTATAATCATCATGTATTTATGCAAAATAAGAACTATGTAATGGTGCAACATTAAACATGATGAGATTATTAAAAGGAAAACATAGAAGAACAAAAGCCTCTTCTGGTGTTGCCTTCAAAGGCAGTTCTAACTGAAGTTTTATTCAAGCACCTGCAAATATCTGTTTTTCCATTACTCTACCAGGCTCTATGATTAACATGATTAGGTACTGTTCAGTTTTTAAATATGTTGATTTTTAAGTAAAAAAAAAATCCATAAAAAATGTCTTTAAAATAAGCATTAATGAGCCTGTGTTCTCTTCAGTTCAGGGGCTGAACCTTGGAGTGTTCAATGGCCTGTGACATAAGCTGAATATGGGAAATCTACATCTATATGCTACCTGTTTTCTTGAGTATATTGTGGCCAGATCCTGTATGGTAGTCAATCTCAACTAGGGTTTCGCAGCACCCTCAGGTATCAGGAGATTCTTTTAAGGGTTCTGCCAGGTACCTCACAATATTAGCACTGTTATATATGCAATTATGTATACGATTCACATGATAACCCACAATTTCAAATAGGAATCCATAGCATCAAAAACATTTTGATCGTTCTATGTGCTTTTCAGCAGAATTGCTCTATTATTTATTTATTTTTAGTTAGAAAATGAGTGACAGCTAAAAGATGGCATTTTCCAAGGTACCTTGAGTCTAAGAAGGTTGAGAACCACTGGTACAAGATGATGCATACCTCCTCAAAAGGGCAGAAAGCAAAGAACTCACTGGGTGTCTGTGCCTGAAAGCTTGCAAAGAACTTTTCCAACTATTTATTTGGTCTAATAAAAGATATCACATTTACCCAAAGAACCTTGTCTGCCTATGTGAGAAGCAAGGCTTTTTTCACAATATATTTAATTGCCCTACTGAAGAAGGGCACTTTGTGCCTCAATGTTGGTCTAACACTCCTCCAACTATACAGCTTGTCCAAAAAAGAGATCACTAAAAAGCCCCTTGCTTTTTGCATATTTCCTACAGCACTGTGATTACAATAAGACTCAACTCCTTCTAGTAATTCAATTTGCATCTATGGGATTGGGCCCTTGCATTGCTCTTCCTAGTCTTGCTGTAAACATTTAACATGAGAGGAGCCTTGCAGGTTCAACAAATACTTCTGTCTGTCTGAGAAATAAGATGAATATGATCCCTGGATGAATAAGCAGAGGAATATCAAATAGTACAGTAAAAGCTTTGTTATCCAGCACCCATGTCACAAGTGTTCCCTGTCAGCAGCTAGAGGTGCAGGGCCTCAGAACCCAGACTCCCCCTGCACCTATCTACTTGACAGCTGGCAGGCTTCATGGCCACAACAGGGCCCAGCAGGCCTGCAGTTTTCCCCCCCCTGTGCCCCAAGACAAACACAGTCCCACAAGCACCCATGTCATGAGTTTTGCCTGTAAGCAGCCAGAGGTGCAGGGCCCCAGAACCCAGAAGCCCCTGCACTTAGGTGCTTAACTTTCATTGATTTCAGTGGGAGTTGGACAATTAGTCCTATTTAGGCACTTATGAAATAGGTAGAATAAGTCAAGGCCTTATTCTGTTGGTCCCTCAGTTCCTTGTCTGTGAAGACTGATTCTGTAAAGATGAAGTGATGAGATTTGATGACAATAGGATCAATATAAGTACCTGAGACAGGAAGAGCATAATAGTTACCAACCTGGAGCTAGGGTTTTCATGGAGACCTGCCCCAGGAGCATTGGCAGGGCAGGCAGCTAGGCGAGAGAAGTTGCTCCAAGGCTGGGCCTCGGGTCTTGCAGTGGTGACAGCATTGTCCTGAGCCAGGACAGAAAAACAATCCGCTGCCTGCACACCCTGGCCCTGAGGCATGCGAGCAGCAGATTGTAGCTCCATCCTGGTATGGATCACACTCTCACCACCACAAGATCCCACCCCTGGAGCAGCTCCCTGACCAGCTGCACGCCCTGCCAGTGCTGCTGGGGCCAGTCTCCATGGAAACCCTGGCCCTGTGCTGTCACAGCATCACCACTAGTGGAATCTCCATGGAAGCTGGCCAAAGCAATGCAGGCAGGGGCTGATGGGAAATGGAGTCCACAGCAGGCCCAATCCAGCCTGTGGGCTGGACTTTGCCCGCCCCTGAACTAGGACCTTCCAAAGCTAAAAGTGTGAATTGCTACTGTTTTTTTGTTTTGTTTTTTGTGGCTAAAGAGCCAGAGTCTCAAACTGCCTCTGGATTAGCCACTGAGAAGGATGTAAATTACTGGTCGGTAGTTTGCAACAATGTATTAGTGGCATTGAAATTGGAGATAAAAAAAAATTTCCCATAATATTTTAGTGGTCAGGAACACACTCAGATATCATAGTAATGCATGGAGTACAATATCCAGATGTGAGATGGGCAGAAGAAAAGGGATTTTTACATTTCTCAGCCATTCCATTTATATTAAATCATGAAGCAGTCTATAGAAATGGTCTGACATGCCTGTTTACAATGCCAGTATGCTTTTTTATTTCTTTAAATGTAAACAATTGTAACAAACATCTGTGCAAAAAGTTGGGCACCCTAGCAATTAAATAAGACTTACAGCAGTATAAATCACTCTCTTGCTTCATTAGCACAAAATATCCAGTAGTCATTTTAGCAAAGTCTGTATAAACTGAATATTGTATTGGTTAAGGGTGAGAAAACCTGGAAGAGCATGAGGTCCAATGTTAACAAGAAAGTCTGATGTACAGGTCACCAAGTCCTTTGTCAGTAGAGAAATCATTAAGTCCAGAGGATGTGGCCTTTGGGAGGCAGACATAGTGGGTAGCACTAAATTAGTACTGAACCAAAGCCTTAGATTGGATCCTCATTTACTTCTCTGATGCTTGGATTTTATATTGGTGCATCTGTGCTGATTTCAAATGAGTGCTGGTGGCATAAAAATTGAGCGAAGCAATTATGAATCAGGCCATTGCTTGTAGGGGGCACCTCGGAGAGATTGAAAGTTATGTTTTTTAATTAATTATAACATTTGGTGCTTTACAAACTTGTAGCCATAAAACATTTCAAAAGATGGGTGTCAAGAAGGTTCTGAATTCTATTCTAACTTGATACGAGGGTGTAGGTTATAGCCGTGTTGGTGTAAGGACATAGACAGACAAGGTCTTTTGGGTAAATCTGGTATCTTTTATTAGACCAACTCAAATAGTTGGTAAAATTCTTCTTAGAAAGCCTTCAGGTTTAAATACCCATCATCAAGCTGAGGAAGCATCTGCAGTTGGTGTGCACGCGCTTCCTGCATGGAAAGAACATTCTAGCTTGATAACATTTTGTGCTTCTCTTCATATTTATTTGGCTATATTGGTCCTTACTGTGGTACATTTCACCCCATGCGGTTATTAATATCCGCACAGAGAGAGTGCAGAATCTGCAGAGACAGTGTTTTACACATACAGGTCAGTCACATCTTATGCGGGGGCTAGGTTCTCAAGTCAGCGCATAAGGCGAAAATCATGTATAGTCAAAATTTCCTTGCCAGCGGTGACTGCCTCTGCCTCCAAAACCTCCCGCCGCCGCCACGGAGCCATGTTTAGAGCTGTGCGGCTGATGGCAGCGGCGCAGCGCGGGGTGGTGGTGGGGATGGCTACGTGCCGCCTGGCCACCACCACATTGCTGCTGCCACCCAGTGGCTGGGCACACAGCTCCAGGCATGGCTCCATGGCAACAGCGGGAGGTTTTGGAGACAGTGGCCATCACCACCATAATGGGCCTCCAGGTAAGCGGTAGCGCTGTGTGCAAACTCAAGCCCCACCCCCTCTCCCACCCTGCATATAGTTGAATTCACGTAAGTTAAATGCGCGTATGATGCGACTGACCTGTACTCTCTATTCAGTTTACCCTTATGTTGGTGCAAACGCATGATAGGGAACTAGTCCACTCACCCCCATGCACCTCTTATTCTAAAATTGTTATCCTGGGTTCTCAAATGGCTGATACTTGAGTCTTCCCCACCACCCCAAAAAAAAGATTGTCTTTCAGTGATGTATAATGTGATTTTTGTATATACCTGACTTGGAAAGATGATTGAGATGAAAGGTCCTATATTTGTGTAAAAGATTATTCAGGAACAGGCCTGCTGCACAACATTTCTTTCCATTTGCCGGTTTGGGGGAGAGATTTGATAATGCGCTTATTTAGCAGCTGAAAAATGGTTCTATAATAGATCGCAAGATAATAGGCAAACAAAATACAGCAACTGTGTGTGGTGCAAGAGAACAGGAGGGCCTGATGTGCTGAAGAGAAATGAAAGGAGGGCATTCCCCAGATCAAGTTGGATGGATACGTTCCAGTTTATAGGGAATCATTTAAAAGGTTTAAGAAGCCAAGACCAGAGAAGACATTTTTATTTAACTCCCAGCTTCTGGTGGCATAGAACTTCCCCACATTTAAATGGCCCCTGCCTTCCTTAAGCATAGGGTTGCTGCAGTTTACATCGCTAATCCTTGCATTCCACACATGCCAATCAGGCCTCTTAAAGGGGCACTATAGTAGAGTGGTGTGACTTGCTATACCAACACCACAGGTTGAAAGCACTTTTTCAGACATATCTAATATATATTTTTATTGCTTTCAAATAAACAGGAACAGGATGTAGAACTATTGTTCAGAGCCTTATGTAGTATCAGTTTATACCAGGTAAGAATATAACCCTGTATTTTAAGTTCTTTCAGGTTTCATTGAAGGGTAAAATAATTTTTCGCCTGGAATCCAAATATGAACAGAGCTATTGGTTTTTGTTTTGGGGTTTTTTTTTTGCATTTCACATTATAATGTTTGTGTTACTTAAGAGACTGCAAATATATAAATCTATACAAAAATAAAATCAACATGTATCTGTTTACCTTTGCAAATGGTTTTATTTGAAGTTGCTAGCTTACAACCTTTTTCAATGCAAAAAGCTCTTTTCACCCAATATACAAGTATACAGAATCAGGCCACTATATATATATATTAATATATTAACAATACTACCTCAAAAAAGAAATGTAAAAAAAAAACATTTTTATGTTGATTGATTTTTACAACCATTTCTGAACCTTCAAT